TTCCTTAAACCAGTTCTCCCTGGAGATGATGAGCAGCCACATCTCCCAGAACATCTGTATTAAACCTTTGTCACATAATTAACTGAAAATAGAAATATCAGAAGTGTCACTGACTCCCCCAACACATCATTTTTAACATGGGATTAAGATAGGTCTGTTCTTTCATAGCACTGTACTAGGCACTCCTCTCTAGTATCGATTGATTATGCATTTAAGAATCTGACCTGGAAGCTGACCTCTATGTCAGGTGTAGAGCTGGGTGTTGGGAATGAGATGAATAAATCCCTGCTCTTAAGGAGCTCCTACTCATTCATTCATTCAAAAGAATGCGTGTTGCCATGTTGTCACGTAGCTTGACTAAGATGAGCCTTGATGCTCATCTTTGTATCTGTCTCATCGAGCTTGGTGCCTGGTATTCAGTAAACATTCAGTTAGAATGGGTTAAGTTAATATTTAACAAGTCAGAAGGTTGATTGGCAAGTAAAGACCTTACATTTGGAGCTAATACATTTTTAGTGCTTTGGTCTGTTGAGTTCTTTCACCTAAATTGTCCTATTTTATCGTTATTACAGCCCTGTGAGGTAGGTGTCATCCCATTTTACTGATGAAAACTCTGAGGCTCAGGTAAACTGACTTGCTGTGGTTGGTCACACAGCCAGCAAATAGGACTGTGATTTGAACTGAGTCTTGGCTTCATGGCCCAGTGCCCTTTCCATTGATTGGGAGCCACCTAATAGCTGGCGTAATAAAGGTTGTTTGGGAGACGTGGAATAGATCCACTTCAGTTGGAGCACAGGTTTTTGGGAGGTGGAACGGAAACTCAGGTCAGGCCAAGTTACTGCCTCACTCTGTCTCTGTCGATATGCTATGCAAATGCTCCTCTGTAGAAGGCGTGCTGCTCTTATCTTTAATTGTGTGGGTACCTTTGGGCTTTGGGTTTAGTCCATCTTCATTAAAATCAAACCACTTTATTGCTCATTTTCTTAGTGGCCATTAAATAAATCATTAGATACATGAGTAATGTGTAGCAGCGGAATATATTAATAATTGAGTACCCTGAATAGACTTTTGTTTTTGCAGCTTGCCAAGAATATTGGGAATGCAGGCTTTAATGAGATTATGGAGTGTTGCCTGCCCGCTGAGGACTTGGTCAAGCCTAATCCAGGCAGCGACATGTGAGTACATGGGGTTGGCTGGTCTCTCTGAACAAAGGCTTGTCTTTTACCCGAACCCTGGGAGCAGGAGAATAACAAGTTTTGGGTACATCAATTGTTGCTTCTTTAGGAAATAAATCAGCCTAAGTTGGGTTTTCTTAGTCACTCCAACCTTTTGGGTGACCAAATAGAAATTTGGTGGGGCAGTTTTTCTAGGAAAGCAGGTGTGGCAGCGTTTTGCTCACTGCTGGCGTCTGTAACACCCCGGACTTCCTGCCTCTGCTTTCTATCCTCGTTAGTCACTTTCTCATTTTGGTTCTCGCTGCAAAAATTCCAAGCCAAAGAGGGCTGGTTGTCATAAGATACGTGCCAGTGTCCTTGCAAGTATGGAGTATGTTGTTTCCTTCAAAAAAAA